TGTATGTTTTAAAACAAACGCTGCTGAAGATACTACAGACGGACTACTGAGCTCTGCTGTTGTCATGTTTCATCAGGCTCCCTCTGATGTTTCCATTGATAACACACGTGTGTGTGTGTGTGTGTGTGTGTGTGTGTGTGTGTGTGTGTGTGTGTGTGCGTGCGTGCGTGCGTGCGTGCGTGCGCGCGCGTTGAAGAGTTTATTGAAAGACTAGAACTTGAGAATGCCGAGTCCTGATGCACGCTTATATGTAGAGCTTGCACGCTGCCACTATAACCACAGCATTCATTTGTTTAGTTTTTCTCCAATGTGCTCTAACCTTGCTACCAATTTTTTTTTTTTTTTTGTTTTTCTTTTTTTGGGAGGGGAGGGGTTGCATTTGCACTAATGTCATTTATACTAGCAACGCTCCACAGCTGTTCTGTGGCTGTGAGCAACCAAATACCCACTGATGTGCATTTGTGTACGAGGAAACAGCCCAATCTCTTTGTGTGTAATGTGTGTGTGTGTGTATATATATATATATATATAGGCCTATCTATATATACATATATGTTGCTCTGTATGGCATCTATATTAAACCAGAGGAGTGTTGATATATGAATAAGATCAGGGCTTGGCTCCTCCAAAGCTTCCCGAGTGGTTCGGTGTTCTTTGTTACTTTACATGCCTGTGAACAAAGACGAACTTCTCTCTAAGAAGCTCTCGGAGAACCCAAGCCCTCCTGATCTGAGACCAGCCAGTGTTACTGCTTCTCCGGTCTGTATGACGCGTCCTCGAGCTGGTGTGATCGCTCTGGTGCCCTCTACTGTTAGGAGTGGGATCAGCAATGGCGCAGATGGACAGGAGACGCACTAGTTAACCCTCAAAAAGTATTACTTACTACCACTATTACTAAAGGTCTTATTACTATGAATGACTTACTTGTTGACGTTTGGAAAGCGTTGGCCGCAGGGCAGAGAATGAATACATAATCAATGTAGGATCGAACCCGGCCAACGCTGTTTAACTGCGTTTCTTTTCTCTTTTTCTTTTTTTAAGATATGTAGAGTTTGATGTATTTTGCACATGTTCCTCTGAAAGGTGAACATAAGGACTTTCTGTATTCTTGAACGAGTCATTGTCATTTTCTTATCAGCTCCATTCCTTTAGACTTTGATGCAAAAACAAAGCACTTGAAATGGTTACAAAGATTTAAACGACCTCATACACACCTGAGTTTTCATTGTGGAGCATTTGAACTGCATCAAGCAGAGAGATCACCTGCACAATGAAACGCTCCCAGAGGACAGCTGTCATTGGCGACCATGTGGGACTTTTGCATTGCGGTGTTAATCGGTAAATAACTGGCAGAGAAGCCTGTTCAGCTGTTGATTCCAGATGTAGATGCAGTGGTTGCCGTCACTCTCCAGGCAATGACCTGTGACATATCTTTTAATACTGTCGAGGACAGTTTAACATGCAAGTTACATATTTTCAAACTAAAGAATTTCAATCTTTAGATGCATTATTTGCGTTACAATGCATTTCTAAGATTTCAGATATTTTATGATTGCTCTTGATTGACTTACTGTTAAAGTAACATTATAAAAACAAGCCAATATGACCTAAATGTCCCAATATTTCTTACACTAATGGTTAATGTATATTAATTAAAAATTGCCTCCATTGAGTTTGAGTAACCAGGAGGAACAAAAAAATCCCTGTAGCCGATATGAAGGAAGTCAATCTCTCATCTGAAATCCAGATGTTTCTGAGACTCAATCTATCACAATACTTGCGTAACACTGAAACTGAGCAAATGTTGACATGGAATCTATAGCTGCCACAGAGCTATCTGACCACATATTTCTTTTCTGAATGCATTTATTGTTGTGCATTTTAGAAGAGAACCTCACTGCTGTCCGATGCTCTTGCCTCTGACTAACATGTGTTCGTTGATCATGTTTAGGGCTGCTCTGACCGAGATGCCCGGCAGAGATTTGTTCATTTTTCTTCTTTCTTCTTGTGTCTTAATTCATTTTTTCCACGCTCACATTTAGGACCTGCTCTGTAAGACTCTGAATGCCAGTTGTATTCTGTTAGAACACTCCACGGGTGGTTTTTATGCCTGGCATTGCCTTGGTTATTTTACAAAAATTGAATGTCAGAAATAAAATGAACCATCCACTCTGGATTCAGCCTTTATTTCATTTGGGTTTTACAGCGTATTATGTAACTGCATGAACACTTTTGTCGACATGTGTGACGTGGTAATCAGTATTAGTGTTATTACTATTGTATATTAGTATTATATACAAGAAAAAAAGAGGACATGCAGTTCATCAAATATGGATCATGTTTAAAAAGGTGATTGCATTTTAATAATATTTAGCATGTTTACACCATTTAAAAAGGAAGGAGATCGTAGTGATATAGTTCATATTTACAGAGATATAAAAAAATATGGAGTAACATATCATCATGCATACATTTTTGTATTTTTTATTCAGAATAATTTGTTATAGTGGGTACATCCCAAGTCTCTTAATTGTAATTTCCTCGTTTCCTCTCTCCTCGCATGCTTTCCTCCACGCATCCCTTGTGGGAGGGAGTAAGACGCAAGGAAAGGACCCAAGTGAAGGAAACGGGGATGCAATTAAGAGACTTGGGATGTACCAGGTTCGTTCTGGTGGCGCATCAGTGCGCGTGTAGTAAGACGTGTCACACACATGATGGCGCTGTTGTGTCGTTTTTAGACTGAGTGGGAAGCGCTACAGAATCCAACCACCGCCGGTGACACACACACACACGCACGCACACACACGCACACACACACACACACACACACACACACACACACACACACACATCGAGGAGTGGTTCCGCCTCAGTACTGTAGGGGACTCACTGTGTACAACCGTGAGTTTAGTGGTTTTATATCGTGTTTCTCTTTAATCTGCCATGTTGTTCCTGCTCTTCAAGGGGCATGTTTCTGTATTAATAGGTTCCTTAATTATGCTTTATTCTTCTTATTTACTATGTTTTCATCTCGCGTTTGACATCTCCAATATTAAAACGTTAATATTAATGTAGATTAAAGGATATATGCTCAATTGAGCTTTAAAGTGTCCCTTTTATACTGTTTACTGTTTTATGGTATTTGTTAATTTGAGCATAATATCTTCCCTTATATTAGCTTATACACATCCTAGAATCATAGATACACCTGGTGTTCAGTCTGACCTGATGGGACTTAAATGAACAAATCTTCCAGGGTGTTACTACATCGATAACTTCCCTTCCTGACACTTTAGCAGACAGTTTGTTTTGAGTCATTCTAATATTCTATGCTTTTATTTATTTTTTTAAATTTCATTCGATTTCAAGCATTTGCATTTGCCACATAATTTTCCTGCCCATGAGAGCTGACATGCAGAGATTAATATATTCTTTCATATATATATATATATATATATATATATATTTCATTAAACTGATACAAATGCTTTCAGCCCACTCCCATCGATCCAAACACCAGAGCCTCTTAACACTCCTCCGTTCACATCTATTTGGTTCCTCAGCTGAGCCGCTGAAGTCCTATACGGGCTGATCCTCCTCTGCCTCTCTTCCTTTTATAAGCAGGAAACTGGAGCATAAAAGACTCGTATTCTCCATAATCAAGGTCAAGAGCGTTTTTCAATAACCTTTGGGAATTAAACCCTGGATCTGCGCCAGCTCGCCCTGCCAATCATTTCCACAGCCGGCTGAATAATACAAAAGTGTTTTGACCTTTTGCACCTCGACGGATCAATACGCTGTAGTATTATTTTTATTAAAAGACTTCACGGAATTATCTATTAATATTTGTGTGTTATTTTGGATCCCCTCTCGGCGCCGTGATAAATAGTTTCAAATAACAGATGGCGCTGGAGGGAGAGACAAAGCGGGGGGAAATCTGGTCGCAATTATCCTCAATTATGTTCATTGTTATTTTGAGCTAATTATTGTTATTGTCACTTTTGTTTGCGAGTCTTGCGGCGCCTGCCTGCAATAAGCAGGCCCGGGGAGGACAATGGGGAGCAGGGATATGTTGTGACGATGAAATATGGCTTTTATAATTGAGCCTACAGTTGTTCTAAATGCAACTTAGATCTAAATGTACAGGCTGAGGTTCCGTATCACATTTACCAAATGTCTGCAGCTATTGACTCTAATAACGACTGTTTGATACACAATTCAAAAGACATCAATTGTTTTTCAATTGCAGTTTTTTTAAGCAGTAAACCCGAACACTGTCACCCAGAATCAATGTTTAGTATAAATACATTGTATGCTATATTTATAAATATAATATTAGAAATCAGAAAATGATATTCCCCACGCCCTCAATCAAATACTGCAAAATTCAGAAGTCTCTTCTTTTTTTGTGTTACCTTATTTCATATTTCCATGATACTCTGTGTCTCGTGCGTAAAACTAACTGTTTGAGCTAATGAAGTCGTGATTGTTCTGCAGCCCAAAAAAAAAAGTGTCCACCCTGCTGAAGTGCCACTGAGCAATTTATTGCTTACTCCAGCATGCTGAGCGCCAGTCTGCAGCCGGCTGCTCTGCAAGGAGATATAAAGAAACTTTCCCGGTCGATTGTCAGTGTTGTGGTGCGCACAAGAATTAATCTCCACATTTACAGAGAAGAGACGGGAAAAAAATCCCTTTACCGGATAGAGGAGGAGAGGAGGAGAGGAGGAGAGGAGGAGAGGAGCTCCGTGGCCGCTGCATGGGGAGGACCATGACTCCAGCTCTCGCCTTTGTTTGGGGGCGTCTCCTCTCCTCCCCTCCCCTCCTCTCCTGCCGTCCTGTCCCCTCCCTTCTTTCCCTTCCCATCTCTCGCTCTCTCTCTCTCTCTCTCTCTCTCTCTCCCCCCGGGGCGGGAGAAGCCCGTGTTTGGTTCTCAGAGAGAGAGAGAGAGAGAGAGAGAGAGAGAGAGAGAGAGAGAGAGTCCTTTGGGAAAGAGTCACAAAGCGATTTGCTCAGAGAGGGAGCGGAGAGGCGAGAGCTCGGCAGTCATCCGCAGGAAGCAGCGCTGCTCTGGACACCACCGACCGACCCTCCCCAACACGTCCCGGACTGCTGGGCTGAGGGAGAAGAAGAGAACGCAAAGTGCGTAAAAGAGGAAGAAATAAGGGCGACATAGTGATGACACCTAATCTGGGTGCCAGTTGATCTCTCTTTTTCTGTCTGACAGCTCGAACTGTGGATCTCAAAGCAGATCCAGGAGTGACTTTTTAAACACCTTTCCCACCGGGCTCCGTCCTTCTGGTGATTCACACACGTGTTTGGACTTTTTTTTTTGGAGCCCGCTATTCCATTTGTAGCACTCACTTTCTGCACGAGGACATCGAATTACAGGAATAATCGGTCAACTGCGTGGACTTCTGGCGAAGAGCGCGCGAGCGGCAGCCTGCAAGCGAAGAGCGCAACCACGTTGCTCCTCTTGAGTCAGAGCGAAGGAGCGACGGGAGAGCAAGTGCGCAGCCGGCCGGCGGAGAGACACCGAGAACCAGCGGGACAGGAATCAAGCTACGGAGGCTTGTCCATGTTTGGGATCCAGGAGAGCATCCAGCGCAGCGGCAGCAGCCTGAAGGAGGAGCCGCTGGGAGGCATGAACTCTGTCCGGAGCTGGATGCAGGGGGGCGGCGTGCTGGACGCCAACACGGCCGCCCAAAGGTGAGCTCTATCCCGGGTGGAGGGGACGTGCTACCAGCCTGCTCATACACCGAAACAACGTGATTTTTTTCCTTTCTGTCTGGACCCTGCAGCCGTCCGTGCAGGACACGAGGCTGTGTTGATCCAGAGGAAGATATTTGGATTTAACGTGTTTCTAGGATAATTTGGGAAATTTAAAATTATTTTTGCAGTAGCCTATAAAAATCCCAAACACATTGAATGCCCCGTTTAATTTTAAGACAACGCAATAAACAGTTACTGGCAACATGTGTTTCTGCTACATATTTTTATGCTCGTGCCTTCTGTCCATGAGGTTTAATGAGCATGAAGGCAAAGGGACGGATAAATAATTCTAGGTGAATGCTTGGGGTTTGAAATGATGAGAAAAAAAACAACAACTGTCCATCTTCACTCTTTTCTAAACACACTCATGGTGTATTCAAGGGGAACATGATTCTCTATTTCAGAGAAGGTGGATAAATCATGACCTCCTGTCTTAGGTTCAAAACAGCCTCCAATATTCATGGTTATGGGTTTTGCTTTTTCATAAAATTGCCTTTCATGATAAACAAAGATCAGCCTTATTGTCAAATCAAGAAAATAAAAAAAAGAATAATTTACTCACTGCATATAGATACTTATTTTTCTCTACCTTTACAAAGTCAAAACTTTATAGCATCTAACAGCGACTCATCCCTGTGTGTCCGCAGTGGAGTGGGTCTGGCCCGGGCTCACTTTGAGAAGCAGCCGCCCTCAAACCTGCGCAAGTCCAACTTCTTCCACTTCGTCCTGGCTCTGTACGACCGGCAGGGTCAGCCGGTGGAGATCGAGAGGACCAACTTCTTGGGTTTCATTGAGAAAGAGAAGGTCGGTGCAGAGTATTCCGATTATTTCTATTTTTAAATATTCTGAAAGATACTTTAACATCTAGATTTTCTAAAGGCCTGATTATTTCATTGTGCTGTTTGATATTACTGATACATTTTTAACGTCACATTTACATATCGAGGCTTCAATAACTCATCAACAAATTATTTGCTGTCTTTACAATGCATTATTATTATTATCATTATTATTATTGTTATTATTTGTAATATTCAGGATAATATTGGACACAGATGAAACACAATACACATTCTAGAACTCAAAAACTTATTTCGATCTATTTGTGATATTTGACAAACGGAAAAAAAACTTCGACATTTGAATTTATTTTAATTTACAGCTGGATTGAACACAACCACTTGTTCTATATAAACAACGGCGGGCCGACCGGTCTCCTCATCAATTATGACACCGTTTAAATTAGCTGAACTGCAGTGGGAGAATTCAGTGCCGGGTTTATTTGCCCTCCAAACATAACCGATAATTACAGAGGAATTAAAAAGCCACAATAACCCCATGATTACACGTGGGGAGATTACAGGGCTGCCCTGCTTTAATATGCCCGCTGTGAACATAAATCACACCTTCATTTAACGCATGACCGGTGTAAATAATTCAATAACGTGGAAGTACACTTCTCGGGCTTGCATGTTCAGAGATGTGCCTTTTTATTTTAATTTCCCCTAAAAATTTCAATAAACACAATGTTTGTCGTGTCTGTGTGTGTTAAGGAGATTAGCGGAGAGAAGACCAATAACGGGATTCATTACCGGCTGCAGCTTCTTTACAGTAACGGTGAGTGCAACATTACACACACACACACACACACACACACACACACACACACACACACACACACACACACACACACACACGCACACACACACACACACATATATAAAGTTATTGACAATATCAGACCAAATCCGCTTGATTGCCTGTAGTCTACTGCAACATAATACACAAAATGTACACAGGAAGCAGCTGACTTTTTCGATTTAATATGGAATAATGTGCAGCAGAGGGCCAACAGGCAGAATTAGTTTGTCTCAGAAACTGCAGTATAGTGTTTCACAATTGTGTAATTTGATCAATATCCGGATAAATGATACAATTTCAGAGCAGCTGTGGTGGGTGATTTATGCCAGCTTTATGGCTTCAACACTGTCACTGTCCCTAAATGAGTGTCCGGTCTGAAGGGGGCTGTTTGACAGTTGCATGTTGTTGTGGTGGAAGCTGTGGATTGTGGTATTGAGGCCTATGTGCTCAGTCTGCAGCTGGGAGGGAAACTACACCCAGCCTCCTCTGAGAGTAAGACATGTGGGCATTACAGCTACTATTTGTGAATTATTGATTTTAATTTCATTTGCATGTGGAAATGGACGTTGCAAGTAATATACAAACCATTTTTCAGTGATATTGGCTGTAAGGTATGGACATTGAACATCACTATAGGAACCATTAATTGGCGTGTTTAAGGGGCTGTGGGTGATTGAATCACAGTTGTTTGGAAAAGAGTGTGGAGGGTTTAAGGATAGATGGATCTTATGTTGTCCAAACTGCAAAGGCCTTTGAGGCAAATATCATTCTGAGATATCCAAAATTGACTAGACGCAGTATAGAAAAAAAAACACATCTGTTAAGAAACATTTATTTTCACAATGTGATATGAAACACACATACACAAGCTCCTCCAGGTCTTCCCCAACTTAAAACCCATTCAAATGAAACTATGTCAGGTTGAATGTGTGAGCAGTTCAACCAAACAATGATTATTCCCTCAATTCATTTTTCTAAATTATGAAATAAAAATAATTATCAAGATTAGAAAAATGTCAAAAAAAAAATAATACATGGAATTTTGTGTTGGAAATATGTTTTTAATCTTCTTGCGACCCTTATAAATGGGGAGCTGCTTGTTGCGTAAGGAAGGAGTCTATCACTGTTTTATGTGAAATTAATTTGACATATTTTCTAATGCAGTTTTGTATGTGTTCTGCTTGTCAAATTCTCATTTGTGATTTTCTATTTTTTTTCCCAACAGGCATCAGAACAGAGCAGGACTTTTATGTTCGACTCATAGACTCCATGACCAAACAGGTAAACACATGTTTCAACACTCACACACACACACACACACACACACACACACACACACACACACACACTCTCTCTCTTTTGCTCATTCACCGAGGTCTGTCACCTCTCCTGTTACCTCTCCGACAATGAGCTGCTCCATTGATCCGCCTGTACTCCGCCGCCCTCCTCTATCTGCATGTACTTGCACACACAAATGTGTGTGTGAGAATCTGTGGGTGGGTGTTTCCACAGCGTATGTGGGTGGGGGCACACACACACACACACACACACGACATGGCTCCAGGCGTTTTTTGCCTGTGCTTCTCTCGCTGTGATTAGAGCGAGGAGGCAGCGAGTGGGTGTTGGGAAACGGGCGTAATTCTGCTGCTCACAGTAGGAAGTGGAAAGATATAACAGCACCTTTGGGATTTGGTTTGCCGAGTAGCAAGCATTTTCTGATACGATCCAATTTTTCTGTTAATGTTTGTGTTTTTGTTTGTACGTACCTTCATGAGAGAGAGAGAGAGAGAGAGAGAGAGAGAGAGAGAGAGAGAGAGAGCGAGAGCGCAGCGGGAAGAGTTAGAGAGAGAGAGAAAACAACTCATAGAAGACAGACAGTTGGAGTGTTTGTTCTCAATGTTCCTCAGGTAAACAGTTAGAATGAGGAATGTTTTTTTGTTGTTGTTGTTTTTGTTTGTGATGCTGTGTGTATGCACTTGTACATCTATCTTTGTCAGAACCAATTTGAGTTTTAGACCTTGAGAGTGAGGACATTTTTGGACAGAGCTCCAAAGGCCTGTGTGAGGGTTGATGTTAGAATTAGGTTTATGCACTATGTCAATGAGTGTCCTCAGAATTTAAGTAGTGTGTGTGGTATGAGGAGCCAAGAAGTCATGCTACGCACTGAGCACTTGCTAATATGACTGCAGGCTCTGATAGTCTCACATTGCTACTGCCACGCTGCAAGACATACTGTGTGTGTGTGTGTGTGTGTGTGACCACACTGTTCCCTAATAACAATGTTAAGCTTCAGCTTGGTGGGTTGACAGCCAGCTACACACACGCACGCGCACACACACACACACACACACACACACACACACACACACACACACACTCACACACTCAGTAGGCTCTTGCAGTGGAAGTCCAGAGAAGAATGAGTGGGAGTTTTGACCTCTGAAACACACTTACACACACAAATACAGCATGCTCGGCGTTGTCTGAAAGATGAAACGGCTGATTTTATTTAATTTTTTAGCCTACATAAAGAGATTTTGAAATTTGAAAAGGAAAAGTAATTTTTCCTCGAGACGCTGACGCAGCCAGGTGTGTGCTGCAGCTGTGGGCGTCTGCAGGCTTTTGTGTGTGTGTGTGTGTGTGTGTGTGTGTTTTTTATGTGTGTGTGAGAGTGTGTGTGTCCGTGTGCTAGTGGAGGTTTTATATATGAGTGAGAGGGAGAGATGAACAAATGGGAAACAGCTCAGGTATTTAGTGCTGTATCTATATATGTGTTTAGGCACTTAGGCAAAACTGCACATGGAGCAATAAAGCATGCTCACAAGTGTGTGCGTGTGTGTGCGTGTGTGTGCGTGTGTGCGTGTGTGTGTGTGTGTGTGATTCCCGGCAGTAGAGGAATGGAACATTAACAGGTGGTCAAACCAAAACAGCCGTGTGGTTGGCTTAGTTGGTGAGTGATGTCATGGCCACTGTCTCTCTAACCACACACACACACACACACACACTGTCTGTAGTCTATCTTATATTACTCTACCGTTAAAGACACTGTGATCTAAAACAAAAAACACAAGTATAGTTCCACCAAAATTCAAATCCCAACTGCAATTGTTGCAGCAATAGCATTTACCTACTTCAAAAAAAAAAAAAAAAAAATCCCCAAAACATAGAGAGAGGTTGGAGGTGTACGGATAGTGAACCCCAGGAACACATTATGTTCATGGGGACCAATCAATGAGAAACCTTCAATGAGAGATTTCCCTGAGTCACAGAAACTAGTGCAACATCAGCCTGCAGCAGAGTTCGACTCTCTGTATTTTATTTAACTCATCAATTACACATGGATTTATTTTGTATGGTCAGATGGGACCTTTACAGTGGAGACTTTGTAGCTTTGGTTGTTAATCGGTTCTTCATTGAATAGTGTTGAGTTTATTACTGGGTACCACTGTGTTAGGTACTGCTCATATCCTGGATTCTGTTTATGTCACAGTTCTGATTGTGATTCTTCTGCCAGTAAAGTAAACCCTTCCCCAACGTTTGGCACTCGTTTCTGTTACCCTGCTATTTCTGTCTGTCTACCTGCTGCGTGTGAGGGCCAGCACTGATTGTGTTAAATGGAGGAGGAGAGCGCCTCCTAGTCTTCAGAAGCAGAGCGTCGAGCGCCGGTTGATCTCGACTCTGTCCCGGAGAATAAGGCGTCTGTCACTGCGGCCCCGTCGGATCACTAGCTCGCGAGTCGACCTGACACTAACGCAGGGGGGAAGTGTGTTCCCCTGCTTAGCGGCTCCTTGTTTACACGCCGCGCATGTCACGCTACTTCAAAGGTGGAGGAGAGAGCGGCAGAGATGCTGTGTGAAAGGCCTGGTGAGGCGGAGAGAGGGAGGAGGCAGAGGAGGGAAAAGGCAGATGAAAGGCAAGAGCGCAGCGAGCGAGGTGACAGTGTGATGAAGACAAACATGGGCTGGGATGGTAGGAGAAGTTATGGTAAAAGGAAGTTACACAGGTACGCAAGAGCCTGCCACAGAAGGTGGATTCAATGTTACCTTTAAATTATTCTGTGTTGTTTTGTTCCTGATTAGAGCTGCGAACAGGACAGACCGAGTGATACTAGAAACGTCAGATGTCAGTTTTAATTTCTGGGATTTTGTTTTTTATACCACAGTATCTGAGCAATCAAGTGTGTTTATCCAAACTGGGTCAAAACAAGTGCAAGGACTGTTCGATTTTGTCGCAGGTCTGGCACAGAGGGAGACGAGTCAACATTAGACAAAAGCACGGAGTCAGCTGGGAAAGAAGTGACTATATCATCAACGGCATATCTGCAAAATGAAAAAGGGAGCGGCTTACTTAGTTCATCACTTAACTCTAAAGAAAAGTAAATGTTACATAAGCAGCGTTGTTGGTAGAAACCGGACAAGATCAGTCTTAAATTCTACAAGATTTTGCAACAAAGGGGATGCTTCTGCTTGTTTCCTTTATCCTGCTAAAGTTATGGTCAGCTGGGATAAACACAATATGGTTAATGTGAGAATTCCTCTATATTGGCTTTATTTTTTAATTTTTTTACAGTCAATGTCTATTGCAGAGGTAAAAAAAAACCACGAGGTATAAAGGGATTTATGTTCTGTGATTTTGAAGGAAAGCTCAGTTACATCAGACCTGATTCTGTTCATAAAGATAAATGCGTGTGTGTGTGTGTGAGAGTGAGAGTGTGTGTGTGTGAGAGAGCGAGAGAGAGAGAGAACAAAAGAGCATAAGTGCATAAAAGAAAGGAGTCGATAGAGGTTGAGATGGCACTGATGCATGTTTGTCCAGACGAAGCTGCCTGGCCCACTCTTTTCCCATGGCACGATGAGCGGGTCTAATCATAGACAGAACTATGGCTTATAAAGTACATTTATTCTTCAGATTATGCCTGTTCTATCGTTCCCCACTGTTCACACGCTCACATGTGCTTTCATTAAGCCATAATCAAAGGGGAATTTTACTGTTCAATTGTTGATGGAGAGGGATTAAAGAAATCAAAAGTCTGTTGGATCAACATCAGTGGTGTGTTAACCGGAGCTTCTTCGCTTCAGCTGCGATCGGTTGAAATGTTTTCAGAATGGATACCAGTTTATTTTGCTCTCTGGATTGATGAGCTACAGCTTCTTTTGGATAACTTTTATAACTGTTAGCTTAGCAGCAGCTCTGTCTCAGACAGAGACACAACTCATGCCTGCATTGACTGTACAGTCCTGGACCACTAGGAGCCTTTCAGGCTCAACATTCATGCGTGGATATATTTCCTGAGGAGATTTTTGCATCTGGAATATATGCACCTGCATGGGAGATTGTAACTGGTAGGGGCCCCGGGCCCTGAAACGAATCGGGGCTCCAATTCCAGAAAAACACAGAGGGTCCAGGACTAGCTGTTCGTATGAAACGCTTTAGGCTACAACAATATTGTAACGGGGCCCTCAGACTTTACAGCCACTGTCACGGCCCGCTGTTAATGCCGCAAAGCTCCAAGCAAGTTTCTGAGCACCACGTTCTGTTGTAGTTTCTACAAATGAGGGGCTCAGTCTACATCTCGGCTCACACTGGGGCCCCGTGTGGAACATGCTTGCCCCGGGGCCCCTGGTGGGACAGTCTAAGCTTAAACATAGGCAAGATTTTTTGTAAGTTAGTCTTTTAAAGCTCAAAACGAGCTCGGCGTGAGAAGTTAAGGAGATCTGTGATGAGTAAAGGGAGACAATGATCGTGTAATTGTTGTACCCGACAGAGAGGACCAGGAAACTCTCCCCGCACTCTAAAACATTAGAAGAGTAGAAGAAGAGCTGTGAATATACAGCTCCCATAGCATCAATTCATCACATGCACATGTAAACCATTATCACAGTGGTGTCTCAGTCATTATCAAACGTCTAAAGGATGATCAATGATTATTGATTTCAAATTTACAATGAGATATGTTCAGAGTGTGTGTATGTAAATTTAAATCGCTGACATTTTTGCATTGCAGTTTGCAGCGACGCATTTATTGATCAAATAAACAAGAGACAGTCACTCATCCAATGACGAATGTTAAATGTTGACTGAATAATTGAACTGATTGTGGCCAAACACCTCAGGTGATTTCATTGAAAAATAAATCTAGTACAGGGAACAACTAGCAGGACCTCTCAGACCAGAGTGAGTCAATGAAGTGATACTTGTTAACCGGTATAGTTTATAATAAATAGTTTCGAATAGAGCCACATGTAGAATGTATCAGTTTAGGACATTGATTGTTGAGTCTGGGACTGTTGAAATGTAGAATTTGGGTCGTCCCTGATCATCAGCACAAGTTGTTAAGCTTTCACAGAACGCTAAATGACCTTCATTTGAGACTGAAACTAGTGCTCAGTTGATGGCAGCAGGTAGTCTGAACCTTCAGCTGAAGACTATCAGAGAGGACAGTGAATGTTCCTCACCACTCCCTGAGAGAAGTGAGCCCGTCACTCGGTGAGACTTTGCTAGAGTTTGTAACGACAGCTCAAACAGACTGGAATAGACCAAAGACAGCCGGGACGTGTGTATTGATTGATGGATAGCTTAGTGGTATGTGACTTGTGCTTTCGCTTTATTCTGAGCTTTATGCGAGAAGCAGGAAGATTGTATAACGGAAGCAGCCAAAATGACTCACGAGGAGCAGAAACAATGGCCACTGCTCTGTGAATATACAACTTAATGCTTCTTAACATTAGACCTGAGCAGCATGAGAACAGAGGAGATATCGTTCTTGTTGTGTTTTTGGATTTGTGTGTGTGTGGGGGGGGTGACAGACTCCCAGTGCAGAGACGATCAGTGTGTATTTGAGGTAGAGGTGTTACCGCTGAACGACATGTTCTTTGCGGTGAGGTGGGAACTAACCTGTTACCCCGTTACCCACAACATCACCTGGTAAAAGAAAACATGGTGGATGAAGGCTACGCCGCAGCTACAGCGGGAAACAAATCTGACTCCTCCCAGTTTGTCATCGGTGTTGTGTTTTCCCACAGCACACAGCTGCAAAATATAGTCACCTCCTCTCACCAGTTTGGTAGATGTAGAGTGCAGTGGTCTGAAAACATGCAAATATGTTTTCATGCATCCATGCACTGATGCAGACAATGACGGGCTGAATGGCAGTGCTTTGTTGCCTCAAGCTAGATTATAAACAACTGGCAAATGTTCCTTCTGAATTGCAATAATTATGATTTGAAGTTAGGTTTTCTTTAAAAAGAAATTGAAGGATGTGGTTATTGATGTTTTATATTTTAGTTGTTGTCAACAAATCCCATGAAAACATCAAAACCAACAATGAATTGATCCTAACAAGAATTGTCTGTTTAGCAAAAGCACAACATTGCTTATTCCTCTGTGTTATAGAGCTCCAGTATTGTCTATTAAAAGCACATCAATGAGCCAAACTGCTGGTGACAAGTTCCTTCATCAGGATGAGCATGGGCAGTTTATTTTGAGTTAATCCCACATACAACCTTTTGCCATTTCTACTCTCTCAGATCAGAGTTCAGAGTTAAAAAGTCCCAACAAATGCATCATTTACTCCTGTTTGAGTGATTTGCTAAAAAACATTTGAACAGAGGCGTCCCGGTATGTAAAGCTGTTAAATCAGTGACAACGACACAATACACACACTATCTTTTCTCCTAATCCTCACTGTTAATGCCTTTAAATAACTAAAACACCAAGACAGTTCTAATTATACAGCTTTGGATATCACACATCAAGATTTACTGTAAAATGGGAAATTTTGAGTCAATCGTACAACACACACATTCTAAATCAATAACCAAATTACTTATTTTTGTTACCATAGCTGAATTCTTCGTCTGCTATGATGAAATATACACACAACAAGGGCTGTCCTCGACCAAAGAAGTTCTTAGTCGACTAACTGACCAGTTTATGTCATCAACAGATTTGTAAAACTAAGTTTCTCCACAAAAAAATCACACAAAAACACCCCTTTAAATCTTGTGTTTTACAGAAAAGTGCTCATGAATTTCCTGGAAATAAGTAATTCGGCATGAAAAAGCATACAAAATGAATATATGCCTGAAGAAATCGTAGTCTACTAAGACCAAAACAACCGAGGGGGCAGTACCACTTGAAACCAACAGCCTGTCGATGACTTGCTGGGTTTGAGCTCAGTGTTTGTTCAGTTTTGCCGTCTGTGAGCTAACTCTGTGTTGTCTTCTCCTCTCTACATCTCTGTGTTTCTCTTAACAGGCAATTATCTATGAGGGCCAAGACAAGAACCCAGAGATGTGCAGAGTGCTGCTGACACATGAGATCATGTGCAGGTGAGAAAGGGCGCATCAAATCTGTTTCCTCTTCCCGAATCGTCCTCCTCCTCTAAACTGTCTTCAAACAGTCGTTCCAGGTCCTATTTCTTCCGTTCTCTCTCCTCTCTGCTCCCCTCCTCTTTTTCTTCTGCTACATACTTTGTTCATCTACAGAAGGTTGTCACCAGTCAACTCTCTGCGCTCCATACATTTCTTATTTTGTCACCCTCATTAACCCCCCCACACATACAAGCCCAGACGCGTACATACACTTACACATGAAGCCATATCTGTTGAAGAAGATGAGTTTTAGCTATCAGAGTCGTTGCTTTAATTATAATCTGAAGATGAATTTCTTCGGAAGTAGGTTGGGAGGAAAGGGATCTATTTATGGAGGCATTTTACCAACCTATCTTATACAATAGAAAATGTGTGTGTGTGTGGATGCATGCGTGGTGTGTGTGTGTGTGTGTGTGTGACGCCTGGTTAATTAGGACACAGAGCAACTCATTAGTCAATTTGAACCGTCCTGTTGTTTCATGGCTAACAAATGGGCCTTCCTACACAATCTGACTATAAAATATAGGCAGGGTCTCTCTCACACACACACACACACACACACACATATGCATATATACAAAGCAGTATGCATATGCACGCTCCCTCCTGCACACCACAGTTATAAAAATTCAAATTTAGCACATGAATTAAGTTGTTCTTATTCCCTGACCTTGTCACTGAACAACTTTAAGCGTAACAATATAAATTGGGGTTCATCTATATGCACGAGCAGGGATTTTAGCCGTGAAATCAGGCACACTAATATTTTATTCTATAGCGCACTGAATAATCGGCAGTCAGCTCAGCTGCACAGCTTTGTGGAAAAACCGTTTGGAAAACCTGATTTGATTTACAAGGAATTTATAAATAAATACAGATTTTATCGTAAGTTATTGTTGTCCATCATGCGGGGGAAGCAGTGAATAAACTGTTCTGAATAACATGTACAGTACACATGAACTTGTACAGTCCAATATTCAAACCCGTCCTCTGGGGGAGCAGCAGTGCAGAAAGTAGGACTTCTGCAACGAGTGTAAACACTTTCTCCTCTGCAGTAGCCGCTGAGGTCAAAGTTACGGCCGTTGCCTCGTGTTCTCACATGCTGATTCTGCAGCAGGGGCCTCACACACAACATGCAACGTGGAACACACACACACACACACACACACACACACACACAAAGAGCTCAGGGCGTCCATTAATCAGTGTGGCTCATTGTCATGGTGGTGCTATTAGCCATATGCTCCCAGCCAATCTGTGTCGCAAACCTGGTTGGAGCTCTGGCACGAATACGTGAAAGGTTTCACTCCATAATGGACGATAGATGTTTTTATCCATGTTTTTCGGACAAAAGTTGGTTGAAATTCATCTCTTTGTGTACAACAAAGTGTTGTCCCCTTTCACACTGTGCCGCTGCAGTTTCTGTACCAGCTGCTTCCAGCTCTTTATTGAAAGCTACATGACGTTGACACTGAGTGAAAATGACATCTGCAAATGGCGTGTTAAAGATATTTAGTTTACACTGATACAAAACAGAGAAAGGCAGCAAATTCTCACATTTGAGGAGCTGAAACCTCTTCTATTGATCCACTAATTGATTAACTGACCAATTGTTTCAGTTGACTTACCTTAGCCAAAGCTCTGGCAGACATTTTTTACTTACATTTTCACATATAGAACCGCTGAAAATGCCATTTCCAAATCACTTTTGAGACTCTATTGTTTAAAGGTGTGTGTGTGTGTGTGTGTGTGTGTGTGTGTGTGTGTGTGTGTGCAGAGAGGAGGGGAGATGCAGGGGGAGAGAGCAGATGATTAGATCACCAGGATCCAGAGCAATAAGTGCTACATTACCCCCGTCCCACCCCTCGTTTTCCTCCCCACCCCAACTCCATTTATAACATCTTCCACTCCGCTCCCGTCTCCTCTTCCTCTACTGTCCTCCTTTAATCTCCCCTCCTCATCTACCTCCTCCTCTCCTCACCCTCATCGCTCCCTTTCCTCCTAGCCCTCCCCCCTCCTCAGGCTTAGCGTTCCTCTTCTCCCGTGCTCCCCCATTCTCCCATTCCCCCTGCCTAACCCCTCGCTGGTGCTGGGGCCGTGTGCTGACCCAGTTCATAGAGCAGCAGAAAGGAACTGACAGAGGGAGCAGAAAGAGAGGCAGAGCGGCAGATAGGAGACAATGTGTGAGGTGTAACGTATCAGTCTCTTTCTTTCCACCTCTGCCATCTGTGACGGTGGGAAACCTGAGACGTCTCCCCTTCCTCTTCTTCCCACCCGAACCTCTCCCTTCCCCTTCTCCTCCACTCGCTCTTACTCTCTTGTTTTAGCTTTCCCTCCCACGCTCATCCTTTCACTCTTCATCTTCGCTCCACTCCCCCTCCCTCCCCCCCCCTCCGGCTTTATGCTTCCCCTCCTGCTTACACCTTTATTCATAATTGATGCACGCAAGAAAGCTTTGACAGACTAGCAGTACATATGTGTGAATTTTGGATCGCATGGCAGTTTTCTTTCTTTTTCTTTTTTTTTAAAACGTGTGTGTGTGTATCCCACCCTCTCCTCCTCTTCTGAGCCTCAGGCCTCTTCAAGCCTCTCCACCCTCCACCTCCACCGTGTGTCAGTACAGTTAGGATGGAGTAGAAGTTGTCACAGAGTTTTTTAAGACATGGTGGCAAGTCCTATCTCAAAATGAAGTTCAACAGCCTCCTTTAGGTTAGTCTTTAGGGGTTAAATATAGGATGATTTTGCTCCAGATCCAAAAACAATAGATCCAGTTTCCAGGAGATTGTCCTGTTGGTCATCTTATCCATGAGGCAGTGAGAACACAGACATCAACATGATCTCTGTGTTAATATAAATACTTAGTTAAGGTTAGGAAACAATAACGGTCATGCTTAAAACATACCAACGTTGACTGGAAACAAACAACAGACAGTGTTAAAGTCAGAAGTTTTGTTGACTCATTCGTCCACTCTGACCTTCTCTTTTGCTCCCGAAGGGAAAGATTTCATAATCATAGCCGCTGTAGGGGGTTTGTCACTTGAATGTAAAACGATGTAATTTCGGGGCACTTCTTGAAACGGCCGATTGTGTTGTTTTTCTTCGGAGGACAGTCTGACCGCACAAGCAACTCCTTGATTGGTGATCGGTCGGATGCATCTGGGCGACATGGCTAAGCTCACCAGCAGGCTAATCCCCTAAAAATGTATATCTTTCACATCCTGCTATACCCTCACTTTCCATGTCATATCAATCTTTTCTTTTTTTTGAGTTGTCAGTGTAGAACTGCTAGACTTTCTGTTTCAGACAGATTTAATACATTTCTGTGAATTTGGTGTTAAGTTTAGTCAAAGCTCAGTACAGACAAAGCACATGATATGCTGTAACACTCCCATTAAAACGTCTAAATTTGAACTGCTGTATAAAGTGCTGTGTGCTCCTGTGTCGGACTTTTTCTCACTTTTTTTTCTCACTGTGTCTTCTTCTGCTGTCTTCTCTTCTCTTCTCGTAGCCGGTGCTGTGACAAGAAGAGCTGCGGAAACCGTAATGAGACACCCTCAGACCCTGTTATCATCGACAGGTACTGTCTCTCACTCCCGCACTATATTTGTCTCTCCTACACACACACACACACACACACACACACACACACTTTCACACACACTCACATGCCGGATGATGGACCGTCTTGACCTGTTTGAATGGCGGCGTGTGGCAGGATGTTTGTGTTTAGATGATCTGCTGTCACTTCCTGAAATAGACGCACCTCAGATAGAATCAGTGGCTTCTGATGGAAGGCGGATTGAGACGTTTGAGATCGAATGCTTTGCGTTTATGAGTCAAACAGCAGGACTCATCAGTGGTGGTGAGTTGCTGAAAGTAGCGAGAAGTAAAAGTCCCCACAAACACACACTTTATTTACAGGTGCACTTCAGTAATTTAGTCAATGACCTGTGCAGAGGGGACATCAGCTGCTCAGTTGCTACCTCATATCTGGCAGATCCACATGTGTGTGCATGTGGGCACATGCACACACACACACTCACACACTCACGCACATCTTCAGCCTTGAATGAACAAACAATGCTCAGACGTGTGTTTCCTCTCCACAATTCAAAATACAGAGCTGTTTACTAGCAGAAGCTGTCTGTCTGCCACTTTTTTTTCCTACCTGTCTGTCTGTTTTTTTTCTTCCTTCATGTCGAGGTGGAGGACTGAAGTTATCCCTCCTCCCCCTCCTCTTTTTGTCTCTGTCTCTTCTGCAACGGCACAGAAAAATGGGTCATGAGCAAAGAAAAAAGTGACAGAGAAAAACTGAAATGAGATCCAACCTCATTTTAATCTGATTTCTTCATGGCAGTTGTTTTAACCCTCTGTGAGCAGGTTCCTCTACACGCACATGTCTATGTGTGTGTGTGTGTGTGTTTTAAAGATTAACACAGGGACTGGAGTGAGAGAGTGGTCATCATAGTACCTCCAACCTTTTCCTACTTCGTCACTAGCTGCTACAAACTATACGTACCTGTCTATCGGCACGGACAGTAGCAATTTATATTTAGGTACTCTCGTTTTTTTGTAAAAATATCAATATAAATGCTTCTGAAGGGGTAGAACAGTGGTACGGCAAATCCATGGCAAAATTGAAACCGTCCCAAACTCAATGTCAACTGTCAGAAATTGTAAATGTTATCTTTTCACTTTGTTATTGTCATGTATAGTGGTTATTTGTATAAAATGTGCAATTCAAATGAAATGGGAACCAAATGATGGTTTATTTAGATACTTGCTTTGATTAAGTAGTATTACTTATTGTAAGCGGCTTTGAGCTAGTGTTACGAAGTTAAAGAAGTCATAATTACCTCTCTAATATCTATTTTATATTGTGATGAAAATATCTCGGTGTAATATACCGGTGTACTTTCTATAACCTTTATACCTTCCACACCTACCTGTCTATAGCTGGTATTCTCCACGTGTAAGGGACTGCCACTATCAATAATAGCTTTATCATGATTTGGAGATAGTCACTTCAGTTATTTCACGGTGTTGGTCGCTTCTTACAAACCACATTAACAAACAACAATTGCATTGTAATTAAGATATTAAAATGTACAAGTTTTTAACCCAAAGGAAATTATTTAGGACAGTTTTGACAGGTGACACAGCCAAACGTGTAAAAAAAAAATTTGTTTTGTCGTCCATCAAAACAACAAAGGAAACACATGTTTAAGGTAGAGTAAAACTTTCATGTAATTTCTTCCAGGGTCAAATATTTATGAATTGATGTTTCATGTATTTTTTCAAATCAAATCTAATGGTACCAAAACAAATGTGACAGGAGTTCTAGGTGTCTCCTGTGTACCTTTTTCTGTCAATGTGTATTTATATATAATTGTAACTCACTCATAACATAAAAAAATATTATCTTATCTTGACCCATAGAATTAAATCCCTATTTTTGTCATGTATGATGATAAACTCCTCTCCTCTCCTCTCATCTCCTCTCCTTTCCTAAGTCAAGCACCTTAATTCCCACTTTTAGCTTTAAGGATTTGGCTCTCCTTTCTCTCACCTCCCCCACTTATTTTTGTGTTTGGAGAAATCTTATGAAGTGGATAAACACTTGTGTCTCAAAGTGAGCTTTGACGGAGCTATTTCAAAGAGCACAATTCTCAGTCTGTGTGTGTGTGTGTGTGTGTGTGTGTGTGTGTGTGTGTGTGTGTGTGTGTGTGTGTTTGCAGGACATTATTCTATCTTTCACCACAGTCCCATTCTTCTGTTTTTGTCGGCTATCTCAGACATCTCAGTTTACACACCATTATATATTTGCCTGGAAGGTGTGTGACTTGGGTTGGGCCGCTGACTGAATAAGTGATATATTAGACACAAAGTGACAAAATAATACATATATTATCATAACATGTGTTACTGGTCTGTTTGGAGCATTGATGTGTGGGGACTATTAGTGTGTGTGTGTGTGTGTGTGTGTGTGTGTGTGTGTGTGTATGTGTGTGTGTGTGTGTGTGTGTTTTATGGCTGGAGAAGAGGAGCAGAGTGAATTGTGGGAGATGTCAGGGAACTTGGTCAGGATGGAATGTCAAGGTTACCCTGGATACCGTGGGATACTTCCTGTAGCCCCCCCAGCCCACTCCGCAGTGGTTCACAGCCTCACTTTAACATCTGGAAGTCTGCTGTCCGACCCAAACATGTGGAGAAAAAGACAAAGTCAAAAAACAGCTCTGTCTCTCACTGCTTGTAAACAGGTCCAACTGACTTCCCATTGAGACATCCCTTTTTGCTATTTTTGTTTTTTAGATTCATTGTTAATATTATTAAAAGGAAGAAATAAAGATCTTTCCGTAGAATTCTCTTGGCAGGAGGGCAGTGTCGATGTCTGTGTTTGATTGACAGCAGCTGGCATGCTGAGCCCCAGCATGGGGAACCACAGACCCAATTAACAGACTTGCTGTAGTTTACATGCCATGGGCAGTTTATGTATAGAATCCTAGCTCGTCTCTACCGATTGAACCCTGAATTCACCCGAATTTACAATATCACTGAATGGCTCAAGGGGAGGAGTTACCCACGTCGCAACATTTAGCACCAGAGATCGGATCAGGGAACAGAAACAAGTTGCTCTGCACTGCATTGCGCCGACTTCTGTTTCTGGGTGGACTGTCAGTGTTTACTTGGGTGGGAAGCCAGTGAGGGATCACATTCTTGTTGCGAATTATTAGAGGAAACACATGATGTGGAGTAAACAGCGAGAAGTGTTCAGGGTGAACTGAACCAATAAAACCATTTCAGATTTTTCCTATGTAGCCTAATGCAGCCTTTCCCATCCCATGTCCTCTCAACAATCCCTTTTCAACAGGAAATACACACATTTAGGAAAACAATATGACATCAAAATGCAATTTTATTGTGACATCATATAAACAATACTGCTGCCAGATTTAATCATGCTTTAACAAATTCAACCACCTCTGGCTTCTGCGTTTACTTGTGAGTACAAACAGGTGAAAGAAATGGAGAAAAGTGTTTGCATGTGATTGACAGCTCATTGCATGGTGTCAGTGAGGATATCAGTCCTTGTGTGCATTTGTGTGTGTGTGTGTGTATGCGTCTAGCTCATCGTGCCAGTGTGTGTGTATGTATGTATGCATGTATGTATCTGTGAGTGTGTGTGTGGCCCATAATCCATGTTGTAGCGCAGTGAGTGTCCCGCTGCCTCTCGGGGTTAATATAGGGTTAACGACATGCAACGATATCCTATCATACGCCTGCTTGACTCCTAAAGAGCCACATCCACCTCTCCTCCTCTTGTGTGTGTGTGGCTGCCATTGAATTTGTCCTCCTTCTATCTCCTACTGTCTTTTCTCACTCAACATCTTCATCTCCTCTTTTTGTATTTCTTTCTACTCCCACACTTCCACTTCCCTCCTTCCTCACTTCTCTTTCCTCCTCTTTCTTGTCCTTGCGCCTCCTCACCCACTCTCATCCCCCTCTCTCTCCTTCTCTCCCTTGCTCCCTCCCTCCCTTTCTTTCTCTTTTCCTTCTTTGACGCTGTTTTACTCTCTCTGTGGCCCTGAGGGGTTACCTACCTCACTGCTCAGTTCACTGCCTGTTTAGACTTCTACAATTGGCTTAATAGGCTCAGGCTGTGTGTGTGTGTGTGTGTGTGTGTGTGTGTGTGTGTGTGTGTGTGTAGTTTGAGGGGGTTATAGTCTCAGGCATGTGCGCTCACGGCTTAGATCAGTGTCAAGACTTGAGGAAGGCGGTTTGAGAGTGTGTGTGTGTGTGTGTGTGTGTGTGTGTGTGTGTGTGTGTGTGTGTAGGGGGGCTATGGGTACCAGTATGTGTGCTCCCAAAGTCTAAAGGGGCCCACATAAGCCTGAGGGGTTTAAGGGGTTCCCTGTGTATGTGTGTGTGTGTTTGTGCTTGTGTGTGTGTGTGTGTGTGTGTATGTGTATGTGTGTGCGTAATCTATAGGGTTAAGAGGGGTCACAGCTTGAAGAAGACATGATGGGAGAGAGAGGAAGGAGGAAGGATAAAAAGGATAGAAGGAGGCGAACATGATAAGAAAGCATTTACAGGGAGTAAAAGGAAGAAAGAGAGAGAGGGGTGAAGAGAGGGAGGAGGCTTGTCTAGGCAGACGGAGGAGAGAAAGAAGGTGAGGAGGAGCAGAGCAAGGTTTGTTTCAGGGGATAAGAGCTTCAGTCTGGGGAGTCCTGTCAATCAAAGAGCCCTGGGTGGGGGAGGAGGGGGCGCTGTCAATCAGCTGGAAGAGGAGAGAGAGAGGAGGGGGAGGAGGTGAAGAAATGCGATGAAGGGACCGAGGGGGATCTTCTAAACGATCTCTTCATCTTTTTTGCCTTTGTGTTCTCTCTCTCTCTCTCTCTCTCTCTCTCTCTCTCTCTCTCTCT